AGAAAGCCAGGATGATGGTGAGAGTTCCTTCTGAAGGGATATATTAAAATACACCCTTCCAATCATAGCATGTCATTACCACATTATGTAATCGCCATAGCTATAAACCCATAAAATTTTCTAAACCTTAATATTCTTTTGGAAGCATGCCCGCTTGATACGAAGGACTAGTCCAGAAACTGGAGATGGAATAAGGAACTGCAGAGGTAATGACTCTTCCATAAAGGTGCGTAGAGGTTTATCCTCATGGAGTTCGAGGGCTGAGAAGCCCTCAGAGGTCAACTAGCATCTCCTGTCCCTTCCATTCCCCACCCCTCCTATTTCACAGAGTCGAATCTGGATTCAGCAAGGTCTCAAGGCTGTTATTCGAAAGACAGGTTTAGGAGACCGGGCCCCACGTGCATGTCCACCCTCGACCGCTGTGTGAACAATGGCTGTCGTTCTCTCTTGCCTGGATAAATACCGCTTCCTCAACAGAGGTTTAGTCTCTGCCCCCTCCCGTACACTGATTAATCATCTTAAATCATCGTTCTAATGAACTGTTAGAAAGTTACTTCTTCGTGTACGAACTTTTAATAACGACTCCATTAAAAAAAAATCCAAACTTTGTGGTTTGGCATTCAGGGCTTTCAATGACCTGATTCCAACCAAGCTATTGCGCACCCCCCCGCCCTCCACAACTGAGTCTTTTGAGCTTCCCCCACTCTGCTCTCTACGCCTGCACTTCGTTCTGACAGGGCAGCTCTCCCGCTCTCCTCCACCCTGCTCTCTTTCATGCTTCTCCCGAGGTTCCTCTCGCTGCCGGAAATGCCCCTCCCACAAACCCTTATCCATCCTTCCAGGCCAAATTACATGGTACCTCTTCCGAGGAGTCTTCCCTGATCATCAGGTGAATCTGACTTTCAGAACATACTCTGCCCCTTATTTCCTGGAAGACTTCAGGCAGAAAACTAAACTTCTCTAGGCTCGGTTTTCTCATCTGTGAAATGGGCAAGTTAACAGTCACATTGGAACTTTATAAAGTACACACGGGTTTGTCACGCGGTGATGTGCTTAGCACAGTTCTTTGTACACGGTAAACAACAAAGAATGGTAGACAGTACTCTGATTTTTCCAGAGACCTAAGTCTCCTTATCTTTGAATTTACTTTGAGCCTTTTATTCTTCCTTGTAAATCTAATTTTGCATTTTACATGTTGAAACGCACGTTTTGTTTCCCCCCATTCAATTGATAACTTTTTGAAGGTATTTTATTCTAGCCTTTGTTCTCTGCAGTGCCCTCGAACCAAAGGCAAAGGCTGACCTTCCCGATATGAAATGATTGACATGAATTTGCGTTGCGGTCACTTTGCCTTTCGGAAGTTGACGATAGTTTTTAAAAAATCAACTACTTTAGATATGAGAATCTCGGTCGTTGGGCTTTTGTGTCATAGAAATACAGAAGACAATTCATGAAGCGGCTGGCGGAGATTAATAAATTTCAATTAAATCTTGGGCAACTTCGCGTTCTTGTGGCGTAAACTTACAGGAACAACTCAACCGCCTCGCTCTCCAGCATGCATTCCACATTCCATGGTTTGTGTGATAGTTCTCGGGGAAAAAAATGGTTTCATGTTTTAATGAGTTTGGAAAACATTAGATTCTAATGACTGACTCATGGAGAGACAAGAGGACACATTAAGAAATAAAAACATGAAAATAAATAACTTTCAAGCATGTGTGATGATCACAAAGTTTCAATTAGTGGTGCCCATCAAGAAATAACTGAAATAAATTTGAGTGAGTTACTTAACCTTTCTGGGCTATAGTTTTCATAAGTTGTAAGTAAAGATTACAGCAGAATCCCACTAATAAGACCCCTAATAGGTTGTGAGTTTTAAATGAGACTATTCATACAAAGCACCTACAACAGTGCTTGGCACGAAATGGTCAATAAAATGTTATCAGTTAATATGTTTTTATTAGTAGAAATAAAAGTAAAAAAAAATTAAAAAAACAAAAACAAAAAACAGAAACTGGAACATGTGAAATCTTGCCGCGGAGAAACCAGCATTTAATAGCTAATAAGAAGAGCTCACGTGAATTCTCTAATTGAATCCTCGAAAGGCCCCTATTACAATAGACATAATTATTAGCCTCATTTAACAGAAGAAAACACGGACATTTGAATGGGTCTGAGTTCACAGGGCAGTTAAGGGGTGGAGCTGGGTTTGCAGGCAGATGTTTGTGACCCCACAACCCGAGTTCCAGAACACCATGGAGCTTTCCGTGTTCCCAAAGTCACCTGATCGGGATATACTTGTTTTTCCTCTTATTAACAACCATGAGATGCCTCGGGATGCACTTGGGGACTAGAGCCTTGCCACCCCCAATGTGCTTGGTCCACAGGAGCAGCCACCATCTCTCCACCTCTGTGCCTTTGCCTATTAGCCTCTGCCTGGGCGCTCTTGCCCCTCTGGCTTCTGTCATGATAGTTTGCTCCTCCTCCAAGGTCTAGTTCAATGCAAGTCTATGAGGAGCCTTATGGACTTCATCGGGCTGATTTGCAAAGCCCCGCTCTGTGTTGTCCTCCTCGTCCTTTCTACACTGTTGGCGTTTGGTCTCCCTGTCAAGGTCCACATTCGAAGAGCCAGGTAGACCTTCTGGCACAGAGCGGACACTCGGGTTTGATTCCTGAGCCTGGGACATTTCAGGCCCTGCTTCACAGACTGGGGGTAGGCAGCAGGAGCTATTTGGTCTCCCTGTCAAGGTCCACATTCAAAGAGCCAGGTAGACCTTCTGGTACAGAGTGGACACTCTTTGATTCCTGAGCCTGGGACATTTCAGCCCCTGCTTCACAGACTGGGGGTAGGCAGCAGGAGCTGGGCCCCTGGGCTAAGTCTGGTTCCAATCCTTTTCAGGTTCAGACAGCATGGCTCCCACACGCCCTGGCACCTCGTTGGTTAACACTCTCCCCCTCTGTCCCTCACAGATGCGGCCTCTCTCCCGGCCTCTCTGAAGTGGACAGACACGATTAGGTCACATTGGGCCTCTCCTCGGTGTCCTTTTCGGGACGACCCTGACCTGTCCTTTCCAGGGCGCTGTCCATGTTCCCTTACAACACCCTCCCCCCCGGGGGCTGTGCCTCAGCTGAGTCAGATGGCTTGGGGCTTCGTTAGCAAGTCTAATTGCCTTCTTGTTTGTGTCCTCTTTGGGGCCTTCTCGGGCCCAGAGGCGGGGCCTGGAGGGTCCGGCTTCCAGAGATGCCGCCAGCCTCCACGGGAGCCTGTGATGGGAAGGCCGCTCGGCTCCCCAGCAGTCACGTCATGCCACACGGCGCATTTCTCGGCCGCACCCGTCCCCAGGGTGCACTCAGGCGCCATGTAACCGCTGGCCATCCCAGCTCTCCAGCTGCCTGAGATGAGGTCATGGGGTGGGGTCCTGGAGACCCCCTCCAAATAGGGTGGGGGCTTCCCCAACTAGTCTGGGAACGGCCGAGAGGGGGAGAAGGAGATGATAAAATCTCGTGTGTCCAGCTCATGGCTCCCTCTCTTGACGTTGTATGGCCGACGTGGGCAGAAGTGGAGAGACAGAAGGGGAAGGGAGAAGGTACAGGACCCAGAAGGACAAGCCTTCGGCAGGCGCGGGTCCCTCTGTCCCTCCACACAAACCCGGTAGAAAAAGGAGCTAACAGTTTCCCTCGCCCACCTCGCGAGGAGCTGATCAAACTGCCTTCCCTCTTTTCTATAATAATATCCCTTCTCTGATCTTAATCTTTCACCGAGACCACAAGATCGAAGAAGCCACTACGATCCACCTTACGTAATCAGAATTTGACACAGAATAAGAAAAGATCCCAGACACAGAGCAACAGCGAGTCCAGCAAAGGCAGGTCAAAGAGCCCCTTTCAACCCAAGGACGATGCCCCGGGCCTTCTTGCCAGGCCTCACGGGCATGCTCGCTGGTGTTTCTGTACCGGTGGGTTTTGCAGACGGAGGTTGCTTACATGTCCCAAACCACTCAAGCTTGGTCCAACCCACAAGGCTTTTTAATTTCTGCCTGCGAGTACATATATATGCATGGAGGAATTAATGTGAGGTTCTGCTAAATCGCAGCCTGCTGGAAGCATTTGCAGACCTCTGTGAATATCTAGCTTTTTTTTCTGCACCTGGAACTCTGCCTCGGAAAGATGGGAACACTGATAACAGATTTTTTTTTTCAGAGAAATTGGAACAACACATCACATATTTACGTGCCCCTCCACCTAAAACCGCAAGATACTTCTCATAAGACCAATGCATAGAAAAACAAGGAATATTCTAGCCTTTCTGCTCGCTACCTGTTTCTGAGGCACAATCGAGAAGGCAAAGCCACCCCACTAAGTTAGACTTGAATTAACACACTTCCAGTTGAGCTCTTTCTCCCCCTCAAGGCATAATAACTGTAACGTCCTTTCCTGGGGTTACAAAGGAAAAGTCAAATGATTTATTTAACTTTAAAAAACGTATTTTATTGAACTTTTAAAAAACATATCCTACAAAAACAAGTTTATAAGAAGTCATAGTAACCATATTTCAGAGAATTTTTGGAATGTTATTAAAATCTTCCATGGGAAACATTTCTGAGTGAATAGAAAAATCACAGCTCCGGAAGTTGAACTGCATATAACGGATAAGAAAATGTAGATACTCTGACCTTGGCCATATATATTAGCCCATCACCACACTACAGAACGTGAGGCGCATCCGAACGGAGACCTTAGAGACTTGCACACATTTTTAAAGAAATGGCATTTTCATACAAAGATATTTCACGGAGGTTTGCGCATTAAGCGGAATGGAAAGTCGGAGAAAGAACCACCACCGAGGTTTTTCAATGTCTAATTTATCATTTGTTGATATACTTCCGACAAGTTCCTCTTTCCTTTACAAGGAGCTGTCTTAAGTATCACTAGTAAATATTTTCGACGCAGGCCAAACAGGAGGGAAGAAGAGAAAAGCTGCAGTGAAAACAGTAGCTTACCTTTTCTAGGCATTGCTGATATCAAACTTTCCCCCAAAACATGAGGCTTGCTTGCTTTGGTTGTCCCATGAATTTAGAAAGCATTAAAAAAATTAAAGCAGGAAAATGTGTTTATTATTCAAAGCTGCTGCAAAACAATGTAAAAAGTAACTTGATGAAAAATAAAGGTCTCGTCTGAGCATGAGAACGCGTTTGAAGCTTGGAGCTCACGCAGTTGCATGAAGTTTTCGACTGTCTTTCTCAGTTTAAACAACCTCCCGCTCCTCCCAGGCACTTGCCAACTTCTATAATTTAAAGCAACTGCGATCTTTTCCATAATACTCACATTTCAAAGAGCTGAGTATATACTCTCGTTAGGAGTGAGTAGGAGTGGGTGACGTCTGCAAACCCCGGACTGAAGCAAATGAGAAGCCAAGGTTTCAGGTATCTAAACACTTCTATTTCTCTCTTTTATTCATTGATCTCACTGTGTTACTTCAAGTTGCTTTTGCCTTTTCAAGTGATGCCTTGAGACCGAATGGCATCACTTCATTGGAAGCAAAAAAAGCACGTAGGAAAGTTTATGTCCCAACTTATGGGACAACGATTCTAGTGACGATTGTGTTTAAACATCACTTTTGCTAACATAATTATTTCTGTGCAATTTTTTCCTAACTTATCTGAAAATTTAAAATTAGGGTACACTCTTTTCATAAGAGGAGAAAATACCTAAAATGATGTTATTTGCATTGGTCTTATTTTAACCTTCATTCGGTTTGCAAATTATAACCTCTAGGAAGGATACTTGCTTTGCAGAGTCTGTCCATGTCCCTAAATAAGTCTTCTGGCATTTAGTCTGTCACCGATGTTCCAATTTCACTATTTCTATCACCCTTCCCCAACCGCCATTAATCATTCTTTCTCTTTCTGCCTCTCTGTCTCTGTCTACCTCTCTGTCTGTGTCTGTCTCTCTCTCTGTCTCTCTGTCTCTCTCTCACACACACATACACACACATACATTTGTGAATTCGAATTCCAGCCAACTCAAAGTGTACTCAACTGAAAAATGGAGATTTTAAAAAAGATTTATAGTATATCTTAAAGCAGGTCTTGTTCACTACCTAATAGGTAATAAATGCTCAATAAACACTTACTGAATGAATAAAATTTTGTATAAATTCAGACCAACCAACAGTTCTGACAACTTTGGTTCACATATATGTTCACACTAGGCAAAGTCAGTATGTCAAAGCTTGAACAGAGAGTAAAGTTCGGATAATCTGTGCCCTTGCCACATTTGATGAATGGTTATGATGTCATAATATCTCATAAATGAATATAGGAAACATTCGTTAAATAAACAAACCATTTAGTGGAGAAAAGAAATGTTGACACAGGCATAATTCATTAAGTGTGCTCATTGTGCAAACTTATGCAAACAAGTTTCAGGACAAAATCCTCATTCCTTAATTTAAAAAACTATAGATTTTTTTCCACTGTGTTTTTTGAGTCACCTAAAATAACTCTTACTCTATGGGCAGAGGATAATAGCTCTGATTGAAATAGTGCAAAGAAAGAAAAAATCTAAAACTACAGAGAAAGGGTCAGGTTTCAGATTTTCTGTGCTATCAAAGCAGAGAAAAGGTGGAGTCTATTTTTGCTCTGGCTTCTACTGGGGAGACGCCTGGAGACAGAAGCACATGTAGTGTACTAGACTTCAGGATGTGTTACTGAATTTCTTTAAGCATTGGTTTCCATCATAGTGAAAGATTAAATACAAATATGTTAAAACAACATGGTTGCATACATATACATAATACTGTATTTATTCAATGAATGCTAATTAAGTACCTTCCTGTGCAACAGGTATTCAGCGAGATCTATTTATGAGTCATGTGATAAACACCAACGTTGGTAAAGGACAGGAAATGCCACTCTAACACAAATCTCAGCTTGGTGCCATTAGCTGAAGAGGAGATGAGTAGTAAGAAAACCGATACCAGAGGCTGGAAAGGTGAAACGCTGTGTTGCCATGGCAAAACATTTGGTGAAACTGACACCTATGATGACTTGGAAGGTTGCTTATGCCAAGTAGCTTTGTAATTGTAGAAGATGAGGAAGTTGTGTGCATTGGCTGCTGTTGACAGCATTTTGCAAGGTGTTTCAAGAGTGAGATGAGCCCAGGAAAGGAATGGCTGAATTACGAATGGAAATAAAAGAGAATAGAGAGATAGTATAGACATTTGATGGTTTGTGGACCCCGCCGATATTTGGAGGGACTTATATTGCTAACATAATCATGAACATGTACTCAAAATGTCTTTTAAGACTGAAAATAACTTCCTCTGCTAGCGGGGAAGTGGATTGTTGGCTGCATGGAGGGCCAGCTCTTAAATGGTCACAGAGACAATAGATGAGGGAGGTGCCCCGAGCAGCAGGCCAGGGCCACACCCAGAAACTCCTCCACCCACCGGGCAACAACCTTCGCTGTGTCCGCTGGGCCACACGTGGCATCAGTAGCTGCTCTGTCTCGCCTTCTTTTTTATTTTCTGAGTGGGGATTTAGTTATTGCTGTTACACCACCATTCGTACTCTGTGTGTGTGTGTGTGTGTGTGTGTGTGTGAGAGAGAGAGAGAGAGAG